CAAGCAAATGCCTGAGGATAATACTGGATATTCACTGGAATGACATTGCAGTAAGTGCTAAAGTTCGCCAAAAGTTTCAGTAGTTTTTCACTTCTGAAGTTATCTAGGAAAAAAAGGAAAATATTTGGGGCCTGTATTGAGAATAAAGTCTGAGCATCTGCGATGACAAGTGTCCCTGGGCAGCTGGGAGCATGTGAAGGGGCTGCCTGAAGGAATTCGTTTGTTGACCATTGCCTAGCGAGGGGAAGCAGAGAGGCCACAATGACGTGACAGATGTGTGAAGTGTGGACAGAGCCAGACAGATGGCAGAGCCCCGTGCACATTCGGGGTAGCCCAAATGTCTTGCTCGGAGCCGAAGCTCCACAACTGAATCTCCTTCCAGTGGTACTAGAGACTGCAGCTACTGAGGCAGAGGAGAGGGAGCCATAGGGCGTCAGCCCCTCCCCACGGAGGCCCACAGCATCCCGTAAAATACTTTGGGATCTTCTGAATTTTGAGACCAGCAGTAAATTTATCAATGTGCAGTCTTCTATAATCCCTGTGAACTGGAAAGTCATTCCGGGCTTAATAAGTACACGCAAGTTTCTGGAAAAAACAGAGCAAGCTTTCATTCTTACCTTTTGATTTGTAGTGTTTCATATTTTTAAAACTATCCACTCAACAAAAAGGGCTAGAGATTAATAACTGAAGAAGAAAAAACAAAGCTCAGATGGGTTGAATTCCAGGCTTCCTGGGCTGTGAAACTAACCTCCTGTTTAATTTTACCAGTTTTAACAGTTTCTGTTTAAGGGTGCTCAGCCTGAAGGCATCATTCATGTTTGTCGAAAGGAGTTTCCTTGCAGGTGTAGGGTTATGATCAGAGCCTCTGTGCTCAGCTTCTGATGGATGTATTCTACCATGGAGCATGGATATGTATCATTTGAAGTGTACTTTCTGCTTGAAGGGAAGAGGCAGGAAGTTGGATGCATTACACTTGAATGAAAAATCCTTTGGCAGACATCTCTGGACATAGGGGATTCGATACCTAATGAATGTGACGGTACAATAGGTTATACTTAAAGCTCAAATGGCACGTGTAGATTTCAGGATTAAATGTACAACTACTTTCCATTCCCCTAAAATGTGCGTGACGTGTTTTAGAGATTATTTAACCTGAGGCTATTTTGATAAACCCTTGAATTTTGTGGATGTTGGCTCACTCTGTAAGTGTCTGTACACACTCACACATATCCTCAGTTGCTAACAGCCGCCTGCCAGGCAAGAATGGTGTACAGAGCTGCAAGCCTAGAAGCATCCCTGGTAAATCGAAGCCGCCAACGTTGATCTTTGAAGTGGCTAACTGCCGGATGCAGTTTTGCAAAGCTCCAGGAAATATTAGCCATGGTCCTGGTGGTTGTAATGTTCAACATCAATAGATGTGTTCCTTGGCTGCAGGTTTTGTGGTTGCAGATGCTGAATCTTCACCATTGCATATTCCTGGTCCAGGAAGCTTGCTGGGGCAGAAGATGAGTCACTGCGGCTGCTTTCTCGCTTAGAGTGGATTACTCGAGAGTGGCCATTGAGTAAACACAGCAGCAGCTAAGGGGCTGCCACAGCAGCAGCTGGTGATAAACAAGTTACGAGACAGCGGCCTCCAACAGCTTTTGGAAACTGGTGGTGTGGCTAGGCTGATTCCCTCAGGTGACCTTCTACCAGGTTACCGCTAGCACCCATCAGGATCTGATTAGCTCACCTATAAGGACTTTCTGTAGCCAGCTATTTCAGGACATGGATATAAATATGTACCTCGTCTGTTAGCAGTTCTGTTTGTATTTTGTGACGTGAGATCACCGATCAGCCTACCAGGAGCTTGCCAGTCATCCTAACGATCCTGGTATAAAAAAAGAATATAAAACCACTAAGCTTATGGGAAGCAGGAGACTGAACTCCAGGAGTTCAACTTCTGAAGCCAGTGAAACCAAATAATTATTTCAAATATTTTTTAAACCAAATAATATTTAAGTCTATGTAGGTCCTAGGGCCCAGGTGAGTATCAGAGCAAATGTAATTTATATAGGCTAAGCACTCCTTGGAGCGACAAGGCTTGTGGGCAAAGATTACATTTTATTAGTTGATCTGATGTAGCTGGGAGAGACAGACAAGCGTTTAGGCAGATGAGCTGATGTTCAGGGTAATGCAGTAGGCCAAGTGATTTGGCAGACGCAGAGAGAGCAGATCCATGCAGTAGAAAAGTTTTGCTTTATAATCTTTCACTGGGTGCGTCCCTGTGGTTAGCAGATGCACTCCAGAAGGCTACCGGTCGAGGGTTTTTTCTTTCTCCAAGGGCAGTGTTGCAGCCTGGCCCAGGACCCCCCTGCACGCTGTGACCCCGCTCCCTCGTGCACCTGAGCCAAGTCATGCTGGGCAGGCTTTTGCTCCTGCTCGCCCCGGCTCCGAGGCTGGCCTGTCCTCTCCCTCCTGGGGCTGCTGCTTGCTGTGACCAGAGTCTTCCCGCTTCCCTGGCTGAGTGCAGGTTTGCTTCAGGGTTTTGCTTAGACAGTGAGTGCCACAGGCTTTTTAGTTTAACCCCTTTGGAAGTTTGGAAGTTTAACCCCTACCAAGGAAGTTTCTCAACCAAGAAGCCTTTGCTTTTGAAGCACAAAAGCATGATCTTCCAGATTAATGGAAATCCGTGGCAACCAAATCAGGGTTGGTTGGGTTGGAGTATCTCTTTCTTCTCTCTCTCAAACTCTTACTCCCCGTGGCTGTGCTTGTCACTCTGATGCGAGGAGAAGTGTGGCCCCCAAAACCCCCTCTCTTAAAACACGACGAGAAGTCCCCTGTCTCATGGTCTGGCTCACCAGCTTCCTCGTGTTGGTTCCCCTGTGGGGTGCGGGCCAGCAGCTTGGGCAAGATTGCAAATCTGATGGATTTTTCTTCAAAAAAGTGCCAAAGCAGTGTGGACTGTGGATGGGTATGTTTGCAGGCTGAGACGTGCTCAGCATATAATACAAAGCAGAGCTCGTAATACGTTATAGGCATACTCCACCACATCACACCATGTGCATCTGCATAAATAAATGAAAGGAGCAATGAAGAAAGTAAATAGACAACATAATGCAAGGGAATACCACAGGAGTGAAATTTCATATTCTTTTGCTGAAGGAGGGCAGCCCTGTGATGCACTCTGCCAGGACAAGCAGCTGTGCTGGAAGAGCTATCGCAGTGCTTTCCCCTGTGTGCTTGATCGTGGTGCAAACATGATTTAGCAAAGGGATAGAGCTAGTAATGAAAGAGATGAGCACTGTGAACAAATAGATGCCTGATGATTTCTGCTTTATCTGGTTTTTATCTTTAATATTCCCTGTGCATGGGGACAATGGAAACTGATTTAGGATGCCAAAGAATAAAGAAGAGGCTTTTCTGAATTATTTCCAATTCAGAAATTTACAGCAGAGAATCTTGTGTCTCCAAATCTTACCTACGTCCTCCTCAAGTATACCAGCTAATAGAAATCACAGAGATGGCTTTTCGAAAGAGCTGTTGCAAGGAAAACCAGAGATACTGGAGAAGAATCTGGCAGCCTTTGTGTCAGCAGACAAAAAGTTGTCAAAATTATGTAATGAACAGTGTGAAAAGCAGAACCGAGTGGTCTGAACAACAGCTCACTGGGACTGATGGGTTGGCTGGAACAAGCAGAAAGAAAACTTGAAAAGTGTATAAAAATCTATGAGGTCATTGTGAAAGAAAACAAACCCACATGCTTGTGTTGGGAACAAACAGAAGATCTGGTGTAATTGGTGCATGATGTAAGGATCTTGGGACTTCAAGAGAGAGAGCGAGGAGAGGACCCAGCTGTTGCCAAAAAGCTCGTACAAGTTCAAGTGTCCCCACTGCAGTGGAGCAACTCCTCTAAATCAGAAACAGAAATCGGCGGCGCAAGCCAGACCTTTGCCAGACTTTCACAGGCACGCTGACAGATCGAGGCTGGAAGGCATTGCCAGTGTGGTAGTAGCTGCAACCAGATGCCGCAGTCACAGAGTGTTTCGGGGCTAATTGTATTGCTTTTATGTTTTTTGACAGGCTTGCTAACAGCTGTGTTTCTGAACTTTCTGGGGGAGCAAAGGACAGGGCAGGAGGTGGGGCTGGTAGTTAATCCAAGCCCTCTGCTGGGAAAGGAGCCTTTGAAGATTCATCCCCCTGGGTTGGGAGACATGAGCTCTCTGGCCCAGTCTGGTGGCCGTGGCAAACAAAGGGTCAAATGATAAATCTCAGTCCCCGGAGGGAGACTCAGTTTGTAAAGTAAGGTGAGCTGGAGAGAAAGCTGCCGGGGGAGCCGGAGCTCCTGTTGTCCCGGCTGTCCATCCAGCAGGAGGAAGGTGCATGATTGCCTGGGTGACCGGCCTGTGTGTTTGTTGCCCGAGGCTGCGCTTCTCTTACAAAATGCTTTTGTTTTCAGTAAATACTACCCAGCTTTGTGAAAGTTGCCTGGAAACCCCGTTGTTCCCTCTGAAGAAGCTGAGTAGCACAGCGGCAGATTTAGCGGGGTCCTCAGGTGCCCTCCCTGCCTGGGCAGTGAGGGGGGTTCGGGCAGCTGGCAGCCAGGCGGGACCACGGGCTTTTGCTGCAGAAAGGAGGCAGCTTCAGGCTTGAGGTTCCCCTGTAGACATAAGAGGAGGAAAAGCCTTGACAGTAGCAGTGCATGTCAGCCACTGCAGACAACAAACACAGACCACCTCCCGTTTCTCCATCCCTCAGCTATTTTCACAGAGCAGCTTTTAAGAAACCACGAAGGAGACAAGGAGGTTTAAAGACCAAAAGTTTTTTGCTATGATGACAATGCTAATTGGTCTCAGCGTATACCATGCAGTTCTTCTGGTGTGAATCTAACGGCTTACCAGAAATAAAGTCATCTGCGGCTTGATGGGAATGAAAATACCAGTTATGCCCTGCGGGGTCAAGTAGCTTTAATCACAGCACCACCCTGGATATTTTGGGACTCAGCTTCTACCTTCATTAACATGGCCCAGGCTTTGCCTCTCAGCCCCTTCTGCGTCGTGCGTGCGTCTGTCCATCAGGGGGGAGAAACTGTTGCCGCAGGTCTCCCGGGGGTCAAGGGGACGTGGTTAAACACCGACCCTCGCAAGGGTGGACCGCTATTGCCGCACTTCCCTGTCTGCCAGATGAGGCTGGGGAGGGGGGCGTGGGGCAGACCCCCAGGGGCCTGGGTGGTGGGCAGACCTCCTCCTCGGCTCCAGCAGCGGTGGCGAGAGGTGATGCTTTCACCAGCTGCCTGGGATGCGCTGCTGCTACCGAGAGACCTTGCTTACACAAGAGGTCTTGGTGGTTCTTGGTGCGCATCAGGTTCGGTGACGCTCTGGCCAAGGCTGCCCAGAGGCGACCTGCCCCGTGGCAGGCAGGCGAGGGCAGTCCGGCGGGGGCGGCCGGGGAAAGCCCGCGGCCAGCTAGGAGCTGGCACCGGCACCCTGCCGGCGCTGCACCACGGCATCCGGCACGGGGACCTGGGGCGAGGGCTCGGTGCCCTCTAGCCTGATGCTGCCTAGCTTTTACGGCTGCATGGACCAAAACTTGCTGCCAAGACCTCTGGCTCCGATAACAGCCCTCTGCTTGTAGGTCGAAAGATGTAGTTGAAAAGTTTGCTTTCTACTGAAAAGAAATTGAATGAAAAACGGAGTGTTGAGTCTGAAGCTTTCCTGTCCGGTGCCACGAGCCTCCTCCTAGGTTCACCCAAAATCTCATATGAAGTAGCTGGTACAATTTCTGTGTTCTTAACTCAAACTCTGAACCTTCATCTAAATCTCATCTGTACTTGGGGATAGCCTCCATGTGCAAACTTTATTTGCAAAATAATGTCTCTCTGGCTGTATCGTTAATATTTTTAACTAATTTTTCCTAAGAAAAGTTAGTTACTTTACTCCTAAGCAAGAAGGCTTAATAGGTCCTAAAAAGTGAACTGCTTTGCTGCCTTTTTTTTTTTTTTTTGGCAGTAGAATATTTAAAAAAAACCCTTAAAGCCATGGCCCAAAATCCAGACACTGAGATTCCAGTAGATCGATTTTTGTCCTAAGAAACCCTGGTAATATTCTTTCCTGTTTCTGTATGGGAAGTAGAGAGAAAACCCAAACGTGACTGTCAACTTTAAGACATTTCTTGCAGATTTTCTCTATAAATGAGTGCCTAATCAAATGTAAATTCCCAAACTTTTTCCTGTTTCCTTAATACTGTTTCTCTTGGAGCTCACTGCTTATGTGCAGTTTTTCTTGTAAAGCTGCACTGTTGCTGAACTAAGCGAACAGCTGTGTCAGATATAAACCCCATGAAGGGTCTAACATGTTTGTGGTTACCCTTCCAAATTTTTACAGAGGAAATATATCATTGAAAAGCTAACTGGTAATTTTAGTTATCCCCGTTGGTTTTTTTCATTTTGTCAATGGAATTTGGTTTCCTTTATTAGCCAGTGTCTGGCATTTTGTCTTGTTTGTGTTATTTACAGAGAAAGCAATCAGTATAGTTTCTGCACTGCTTTTGGGAAAAAGTAGTATTGCTGGTCTCAACCCCCTTCCCCTAAGCCATTGATATAATTGCTGCTGACTGATGTATTGATGACTATTTGGTAAGTAAATAAAAAAAAAATCAAATATAGATTTGGAAAACTTGGGTGAGTGACTCATAGAGGTAATGTATGACCAACTGTAATTGAGAAAGACTCTGTACAGAACTGCTTATTAGAGCAGCAAGATGAGGCACATGCATACAGAAGGATTTTAAAGGTCTCGTTTTGTGAGTCTTACTGCCGCAATGCATAGTTGCATTGACGAAGGATAGGTTTGAAACACTAGGTCCTAATCCCACCTGGGCTCAATATTTTGCTTGGACACGGAGGAATGTAAAACGAATACATGCTTGGTCCTGTATAGTTTGATTCAACTGTCAAGGAGAAGACAGTGAAGTAGGTAAAAAGTCATTATAGGAATGTGGGTAAAAAGTGCATTACTTGCCAGCCTGAGTAGTGAGGGAAATACATCTGAGAGTCCCCTTTTTTCCCCTCTCTTCTCCTGGATGTAGGTGTTTGCCTTCACCAAGGAACTGCTAGCTGTTAGGCATCAAAGGTAGTTAGTGGTCCCTGTGTTATCTGTGAAGAAGCTTGTGTTATCTGTGAAGAAGCTTTTGTTATCTGTGAAGAAGCTTGTATGGTGTCTTCACCATAATGGCAAAACCCCATGCCATTCCCTAAAAGTGGAAAGAAAGTGCAGCTTCCCTGTATTCGCACAGCCCCTTATACTGCATCTACCCCCTGAGCAAGTAACTGCCAGAAATTGTATGCTTGTGTTTCTGTGTCATTGGGCTTTTCCTAGCATTTTGTGACTACCTCTCTCTTGCTTTCCTGTGATTTTGAAGAGTAGCCCTTTCTTGATAACTCCTGAACGACTGCTATAAATTAAGTGCTATGGGCATTTGGAAGAGGAGGATTTTGAGGAAAAAAATTTGCATGCTGCAAAATGAAGCTGCATGTTACATTTTTAATGAAAGATTTCAGGCCACAGCACTGCACATTCATCAAATTCTCCATAGACTGTTAATCCTACAAACAAGTGTGAAAAGTTGTCTGCTTCTTTACTCCAAGGAACCCTCTCTTTGCATTGATTTGCTCTCACAATTGCTCTGTGTCAGTCCTTGAGGTCTGCATTGTGAGACCTTCCTTTCTGCAGCAATGGCACATGTTGTTGCTGTTACTGAAATACAGTTTAGTATAAAGGCCATTTAGTCAATGCCAGCATTCATTTGGAAGAAGTTTAACATTAGCATTTTCTGTGCTTGATACTGTAAAGTGCCAGGCTTCCTGATCCTGATTGGCAAAGCATTTAAAATTACACATAAAGCTCTGTATCAGTGTTCCCGTTGATTTCCGTGGAGACAATCACACATTTAAACTTCCAGAAGATACTAAAATGATTAGCAGGTTCGGGGTGAGAGCACTCTGTTTCTGGAGACTTAATGAATAGGTCAAATTAGTATTTTTAAAAAAAGCAACCAAAAAAAAAAGCCCGATTAAAAAGAGAGTTCATGATCTTTCCTCCCATGTCGGTGGGGAATCGGACCAAGTGAGGGCAAGTGTACAGCAAACAGAGAACACAGAGTCAAGTTTATAGTAACATAGTCATCCTGACTGGAAACTCTAAGAGGTTTTCTTTCTCTTTTAAATCACTATTTTTGTAGAAGAACCTTAGTCTACTTATAATTAAGTCTTAAAGCCAGACAGCCATTTAAGCCTCATAGCTGGTAATTTGAGGTCTTCATGTGAATGTGTTTTCCTATGTCGACACTAATTTATTTCTGTGGAAAAAAAAAACCAAAAAACAATGAATATTATAAGAAGGCTCTGTTTCCTATGGGGTTTCTCATGAAGAGCAGACAAAAATAGGGCTGAAATCTAAACTGAAATTGCCAGGCATGGATTCTGAATTGTAGGTTTCTTTCTAAGCAAAATGATCCAAAGTCAGAGTAGCCTGAAAACACAGAATGACTTCTGATAGAGCCGTGGTGATTTCCGTCTATCCTCCATGGATGTTAAAAAAATATGCATACCTTGGACTAGCACATGTCAGCAAATAAATGCTGTGCGTGCTAACTCTTGTGAACTTGCAAGTGGATGTTTTATGCACTCACATTTTACGTAGTGGCAGATTAAGTATTTGGCAGGCACATTAGATGCCTATTTTAAAATATTTATTCCTGTGTTTATTTTTCTTTCATATGCTGCTGCACTAACAAGTTACTCGTACTTAACCAGTGATTTTGTATATTCCTCCAAGAGACTAAAACCAGACACAGTAGATATAAAGAGAAATTATGGTAAGAATTCCATTCCCAAAAAAGGGAAAGAACATGCAGCTTCTCTGTATTTGCACAGCCCCTTACACTGCTTAGGGCTGCATCTACCCCCAAAGTAAGTGGCATCATGTATCTTACATCTGTTAAACAAAAATGTACAGTACAAGTGGGTTGCTGTGCACAGTGTCTGCAGGTGAGGGAGGGAGCAGATGCAGGGGGATGCTGTAACATGCACTGCCCAAGGAATCAGTCTTGTCAGAGCTGCTGCCCGCTCCTTGCATCTTCCCAGGGGTGTATGGCAGAGGACTTTGTGAACCTCGTAGGCCAGATCTGTACCTGCTGTTTGCCTTGGGGGTGGGGGGTGGCTGTCCATGTCGACGATTTTTTTCACATCAGAGAGAATACTTTTGAAAAGGCAATAGGGGAACTCCTAGGAAGCAACCCCAGGGTGGCTTGGTAGAGTTGAAGGGTTCAGGCAGGATTTGGGAGGAGAGGGCGTGCCTCAAAGGCAAGCAATATATTTAACATCAGTCTGCCTGTTGATGTGTCCAAGTTAAGCAAGTGCTTACATATGTGTGGAAACTGAGACAAGCTCTGTGGTCAAGTGAAATGAGATTAAAGAAGAAGAAATATATGCTCTGGGGAGTCTAAAAAGGATAGGTGTGATGTGCTGCTGGGTGAAGGACTGACTTGACACAGTCCCTGACAGCTCCTACGACTCTTGCTTGCAGCCTAGCTGCTGAGAATTACATCAGGAATGGGATTTGTCTGATACACATTGCCACTAGGTTAGGAGGATCATTTTCTAGATCACCGATGGGATAATGTTTCAGACGTGGATGTCCTAGCTTGTTTTGTTGGTTTGTTGGGTTTTTTTAAATATTCTTTCTCTCTTTCACTTGTTTCTGGCATTGCATTCCAGGTTTCTGTGACTCTGGTATCCCGTTTTACTCTCCTGATCTTGGTTTTGATGTGTTAGTAAAGTCTCCAGGACCAGGCTTCTGCTTCACTGTGATTTATTTACTGTTGCCTCCTTTTCGTACATGTTGTTTCTTTGGCGTTTTTTTTCGCCTCCTCATGCATTTTTAGCTTGTCATCACATCCTTTCTTTTGTTTCTATAGAGGAGGTTATGTTTTAGGCCCTGCTCCTAAAATATCCATCCAGAGAGTATTTTTGAAATTATACCATTGAGACTGCTGATATGTTTAAATGTAGCTTTACATTTAGCACTTTTTTGAATCAGCAGATTTGCACGTTAGTTTTACTACTTAAGAGTGTCTTTCTAGTTTTCTTCTTTGAAACCAGAAATGCTTTAGAAGTTTTTGACTTGCTTAACAAATGAGTGGCAGTCTCGATCTCCTGACCTAGCCCCAGAACAACGATTCCGTTATAAATAAGTACTTGTGTCCAAAGCAAAGCCTCTGACATTCATTATTCTGGTGTGTGTCTGTTCCTAGGACATTACATTTCTGTGGATACATCCTATGAGGGTGAGAAAGCAGTGCTGTCCAGCCCTGAGCTGTACTCTGAGGAGTGGAGCTGTGTCAGACTGATTTATCAGATAGCATTCCGTTGTAAATAAGTACTTTTGTCCAAAGCAAAGCCTCTGACATTCATTATTCTGGTGTGTGTCTGTTCCTAGGACATTACATTTCTGTGGATACATCCTATGAGGGTGAGAAAGCAGTGCTGTCCAGCCCTGAGCTGTACTCTGAGGAGTGGAGCTGTGTCAGACTGATTTATCAGATAGCAACGACTTCAGAGACTTCGCCTGACCCCGCCAGGCTCAACCTGTACCTGCGGCAGGAAGGAGAGAGCTTTGATCGCTTGCTGTGGTCTGCCACGGAGCCTTCGGATAGCTGGCTCATAGCTAGCTTAGACTTAACGAACAGCACAAAGAAGTACAAGGTAAGCCTGATCTTAGAAGATGCCACAGGCTTTCTGGCGCATGCGTTGGGGTGTACGGACAGCTTTTCGAACATTTTCGCTCTGGGCCCTGTTCTTGGCTTTCGCCTCTAGGGCTAGCAGCGTGTAAGTCAGTTAGGGACCCCTCGCCCCTAAACGCAGTGAGCAGGGCTGGCTGGAGTCAGGCAGCCGCTGCTCTTCCCAGCGAACGCGGCTCACGGGGAGGCACGGCCGGCCGAGCCGTGCAGGGAGGATGCCTCACCTCCGGGCAGCCCGGTGGAGCTGCTGGCGTCCCGTAGCAGATACAGGACCTCCCAGGTCTTGGGTCTCCAGCTGCGCTCACTCGTTCCTCTGTGCCCTCCTGGGGGGAGTCAGAAGGTGAGAGGAGAGTATTTCTACCCAAAATCCGTCACATCGCATCTCTCACAGTAATGTCCTGCGTAGCCACAGCTGAGGAATCTGGAGTCCCGTACTCTTACATGAACATTTTGTGGGATTTTTTGGCCTTGTCTCATTGTCCTTCGGTATGCCTTCCATCCTTGAGGAGGGGCATTGACTCCGTCTTTAATGCATTCTGCCAAGCTCTTCCAGCAAAAGCACCTCTCCTGACTGTAAGGCTGATGAACCCCTCACATGTATTTAATTTGTTCTCTTGTTTATCCTGTTTCAATGTCCAGGGTGATAATGGAAATACCAAAACACTAAAATTTACGGTTTGGTTTATATTGTGCAGATCGTACTGGAAGGTGAAATGGGACAAGATAAATCCGCCAGTATAGCAGTTTTTGAAATTAAAATAACTCCTGGATATTGTATTGGTAAGTACTGTCTGCTCAGCTCCCATATTGTCTGCAGAGAAAAAAAAAGCCTTGTTGGCAGTTTTAAAACCAAATTAAAGGTCTGGGTTTAGAAAAAAGACACTGGCTTTTTCCTTATTGAAAAGTAGGCTGCCATATTCGATACAGATATTTTTAAAGCTAAGGTTGCACACACTAATACGTGTTTTTATTCACCCATCTCTATGATATATATAGACATTTCAATACACACAATAACTCATTCTAAGGCTATTTATTGTTCAGGCAGGAACAAGTGTTATATTTTCACAAAACTAGACTGCTGCAAATATTAGACATAACAGCTGCGACATTATTTCTGCTGTCTGCCTGCTCATGCTTCCTTACAGTGGCATCTTGCAGGCTGCAGAGTCAAAACTCTGTTGATATTTACACTTACTGCTATTTCCTCATGACATTTGCCAAAAACCACTAATGAAGTTCAAAAATTTCAGTGGCTAGGACGCTGGGAGACCTTTGCATTTCTGGGGAGTCCAACCAAATTGTCACAATTCTTTGGCTCTGTGAAGGAAACAAAGCAGTCTCATGACCGCTATGAAATACTAGTCCTGCTTTGCTTCTAACCATCCCTGATTTACAAGTGGAAGTTCTGTTCTATTTAATACTATGAAGTGTTATATTTTAAATCTGTTTTAGCTGGTTGTAAATTACAGCAGTCATATATTGCCAAATAATGAAAAGATAGATTGAACTGAATAGGATGGAAATGAGAATTTGATCAAAAATTGATCAAAAATTTTAGCTAAGTTTGCTTCCATTTATTATAAGCTAAGTGCTGTGTCCAGTTTTATAAATATAGGTGTTATCTGTGCTGCCATATGTAAAACGAGGCCAGTGCTTAGCAATAGCCTCTCTTCCAGTTTCTGTAATGAAAATATGTGCGCTCAGCTGGTGATGTCTGCAATTGCAGAATGTGACTTTGAAGAAAATCATCTTTGTGGCTTCGTGAACCGCTGGAACCCCAATGTCAACTGGTTTGTTGGTGGAGGGAACATTCGCAATTCTCAGTCTATCCTGCCCAAAGACCACACACTTAACAGTGAACTGGGTAAGCAACAAATGTGAAACAGAAGTATAGTGGAAAATTTGAGTCTGTGATCCATGTATGACTCTTACACTGCAAATTATTATGTGAGTTCTTTCTTTTCTCCTGGCATTGGGTGGGGTGAGAATGACTTATGTGAAAAAAGGGATTAGAAGAAGATGGGGGGAATTTGCAGAAGTTCACATGAAGTTTCCTGTAAGCTTGATAGTAAGGTTTTTATGCCCTTTGGAGGCTTCAAAATTACTCAAAATAAGGATAAAATTTTGGATGGAAAGAGGGAAAATTAATCTTTCGGTGGATTCTAAAAGTATGGGGCACTATAAGTTTTAAAATCTCGTACTGCTGCTCTGTACATCTGGCAGGGTTTTCTTTCCAGTGGCTATTGGGAAAGTTGAGTAGGAAAGCTAAGGGATTGAAACATGTTTGGAGAATCTCCAGTGAAATTGCACCGTTTTTTTCTTTCAGTCAGATGTGGTGCTGTTAATACAGTCCGTCGGAGGCAGAATGCTGTAAAGACTTTCAGCACTTGCCCTGTACTTGTCCCGGCCACCTTGTGGAGAGCAGAATGTTTTACATAGTCGTAGAGAAGGGTTGGGGGATATCTTAGCCTTTGATGTAGTGTTGCATGAGGCACCGCAGCAGGTGATGGTCAGGAGATCTGGCTGCTGCAGCACGCTGTGCGTCTCAGACGACATGACGCTTGCGACGGTGCAAGGAATCGCATCGTGAAAAGCAGGGTTGATACTCTTTCCTTAACTCATGCCGCTGTGCCTTTTTATTTATTTCACAATTGTGTGAGTTGAGTACAGAGTGTCAGTCTGGCCCTGCATCACCCCTCGGCACCTAAATGCTGGTAAAATTTTGATGGAAGTTTAACTGACCACAGCTTCAACAACAGGCAGTGGCTCTACCTATTAAGTAAAGTACTATTGTGACAGGAAGCGCCGCCAACTGGGAGGGATCTGTTTTCTTGTAGCCACAGTGTTTCTTTTTCACACCAAGCCCTCACTGCTGATCATTGACTGAGAAGTCCCCAAGAAGCCAAAAGTCACAGAAGAGCCTTCTTTTTGCAAGAATTCTGCTATGAAGGTACATCAGCCAGGGAGATCTTAATTAAGCTATGAAATGTGGTAAAACTGCAGAGCAAAAATGAAGCCTAGAACTTCTCAGCTGAAGAGTCACCAGTCCCCTGGCAGTGGGCAGGCTGGAGGAGACCCAGAGCTAAGCAAGCCCTTTCCCCTCCTTCCACTGGAGTGAAGCGAGAAGTGACATCTCCAGGTTTGAGAACACTATTAGCTAATTAACGTAGTGGTGTAGATACAAACCTAACGGCACAGTTTGCAGTGTCCACGCTGAAGTACCCTGTCAGTTTGACACTTCATTCTCCTCTAAGTTTTCTACTTGTGAAGAACCATTTTCCTATTCATCAGCTGATACTGTTTGATGCTGTGTTTCTGGGAGTGTAGAAGAAGAAAAACTACACAAGCGCAGCATATCCATGCACATGGGTGTCCCGTTTAAATGGAGATAGCTCTCCCAAAATCAAAGTCTGAGAAGCTGTACCCTTCGAAAATCCTGCAGGTTGTAGTGGCTGAGGAGGAGGGAGTCTACTCATCTGTAATGCATTTTTCTGTTTATTAACATTCTTCCAAAAGCCTTTTTTAAGGATTTTGAAAAAACCCAGTCTATTCAGTAAAAATAAAACATTTAGAAACTAAATCCTGGATAGACTGAGCAGAATTATACAAGCAGTGAAATGTGCAGAATAAAGGTTATTTGCCAATTCATTTGATATATTAAATAAACTGCTGAGTAAAACATGAAGAAACACATGGCTTATAGTCTTGTTCATTTATTCGGGTTGCCTCAGTAAAAGTTGCACTTGGAAAAAGACTAAATACTATGCTGAGCTGTTGGGAGGCAGGAAATTTACTCAGTTGTAACACATTTTTCTTTTTATGAATGGCTCCCAAAATTCAGAGAGTTTATTACTTTCTTTAATATAAAGGTCTTGAATAAAGACTTAAGAAAGAGCTGAGACTGACTGTTTTGCTGGTGGTATCTTAGCCAAACAACTTGCTTGTACATAGGAAGAAAGGAGGAAAAAAAAGTCTCTTAGAATTACTAAAATTTCCTAGGAATCAACCATCGTTGTCCAGGTCGTAGAGATACATGTCTTGTCCCTGCCCATCTCCTGATACTTCTTGTATCCTTTAAAGAGTGTCCTTATACCAAGTTTCTTTTATACTTTTAGGTCACTACATGTATGTGGACTCTGTTTACGTCAAACATTTTCAGGAAGTGGCCCAGCTAATCTCACCAAAGACCACGGCCCCCATGTCTGGCTGCTTATCTTTTTATTATCAGCTTAAGCAGGAGAGTAGCATAGTTTTTACCGTTTACTTGAGAGACACAAGTGGCTTTTATGAAGAGATCTGGAAAACAGACAGTGCACTGAGTGTGGACTGGGCGCTAGCAGAAGTTGACTTCAATGTGCCGTACCCCATGGAGGTAAAGCAATCGTTCCTGTACAGTCCAGCTACGACTTCCAGGTTGCCTCAGACATCAGTGCCGCCGCTTCAGGCCAAGTCGGGAACATGGCAGTGGCCGTCCAGTGATAAAGATGCTGGCGATCTGTTGTTTCCTTTGTCCACTGCGTAAGGGTCAAGGAGGAGTCACTTTCCATGCTGGTGCTTGATTTTCAGCAAAGATGAAGTCAGGTGGTGAAGTGCTTGAACAGAAAACCTTGGAAGGTTGTAATGTGAGGTCTTTCAGTTCCTACTAAATGATGTCAAGGTTCTCTCAGCCCCATATTTCTGACTTGATGATCCATTTCTGAGGATGCCGAGTATCACTAAATTAAGCATGCCTCCCACTGCAGCAGAAAAATTTAAAGAAATATTGGAGCTCTATTTTCTATACAATCCTCCAGTTCAGTCTTTCTGTGCTTTCACAAAATAGAGTCCAAACTTGGGTCATAATCGTACAGTAGTCCTTAGATGTGAAAGCCAGCTCTCTATGGTTACTGTAATTAATTTCAAGAGTATCAGAAAAAAATGGAATTTTTTATTCCCTAATGTTTACTGAAAAAAACCCCCAAACCTTAGAAGATTGGAATAAACTTTTTTTATATATATGTGTGTGTGTGTGTTAAAAAAAAATACACACACACACACATACACATACATATGTATGAAAATGTGTGTGTGTGTATATAAATGATATATATACATACACACATATATACATTATCTCTTTATATAGATGTAAAACATTCTTATATCTAATACATATATAAATATCTTAGAAGATTGGAATAGACAGTGTATATGTATTATATATACACATATATACTTACATGTACACAAATATATATATT